AAAATATTTCTCTTATTCTAGAGACCCGGTGTCCATTACATGGTTGCCTTTATCGGGCGAAAAAATTTTCATTGGTTAGGTAATATAAGATCAATTCACAGTGACCACGTGAAAGCTGTCAGACAACCAGTTGTGTGTGGGCCACGGTTCGTTAGGGCTTCTTTGACGCAGCTAGTTATTTCTCAAACAGGAATAACCACTGACCATATGGAAAACTTTACTACAAAATAGCATGACAGTTTTGATGCCGATGATGCTAGGACTTTTCATGTTCGCCGCCCCATAAACAAAAGAACGATACAAACAGGTCTCCTTGCACCACCGATAAACCATAAGTAGCTCGCAGGGCAACACGTTTGACAAAACGTCACATGAGGAAATGTTCAAAAAAAGGTAGTGACGCGTGAGAGGTAGTCACACTGCCACTCACTGGCTTAAATTCTAATGGTTGTTTTCAGACATTGGCTGGAATGCCATCACCCCGAAACTCACTGAGCTGCGCAAGATGCACCCAGGTGATGAAATTCGAAGGAAATAAAGCTGAACAATGTTTTAAACGTTTGGATTGCCACCGCTGATGAAAGAATATCTTCATTCGTAACGCCGAAGATTTTCTAAATTATTGTTAGTTCACCATGTCGATTCCCGCCGTGTTCATATTAAGGATCCATATTCGTTAGGCGAATTTCGGAAGAGTGTGCCGCTGAAAACAGCGGTTGTAGTATCACCAACAGGATACGTGCGCGGAGGCTCTTTGCTTTGAGGCGGGGAATTTTCGCACATTGGTGGCAGTTCCCTGAATGGTTGATTCTCATCATTGCTCGGTTGTTTCTTGATTGTGAAGACCATTTTGGGTATATCATCCTAAAGGTTTATGTCCACATTCTAGAAACAAAAATGTCTAAACCGGTATGTCCATATTTCAGCGATTGAATTTTAGGACCGAATACTGCCAAAAAAGCGTTTCGAATGCGGAAACGTATGAACAATCCCCCACATGGTGTTTTGTTGTGGTGGAACTCTAGCTCACAGGAATCGAAATAGATTTCACTGGACGAAAACTGGATTTTCACTGATTAGATACAATCGTGGTCTATAGTATGAATTGTCAGACAAATGTGACGGTGAGCTGCGTGGGATCATCTTGCTCATAAGCGCTATCACTGCTCATTCGGGCAGCGGGGAGCATTGTGTGTTGATTTTCGCATTAGCCGCTATTGCTTTTAACTGTCCCATTGTGTAATGCACAATGTAACCCTTCGACTAGTTTCAAGTGGCTCAAAAATCATCCTTTATTTCTTCTATGAGATATAACACTGAACAATCGGGACGGTGTGCAGCGTCTGTAGCCGGGACTAGTATTAGGTAGAGTTCATGTGGGTTTCGGGTTAACATTTTTGAACAGAGTCTAACTCTGTCAAATTCTTCAGATCTCCCGAAGTGTGAACAGTGTATGGTTTTTTTTCTTCGATTCAGACAGAACCAGATAACCACGAAGATTTCTTAAATCAGCCACCGGTCACGAGGGAAATGCACTTTGGTTTGCTGGTATAACCACAAGCACTTCACACCACATTTTCGGCGTACGGAAAATTAC